CAGACGCGAAACTTTTTGATCATCACTGGAGTAATAGGCTTCGCTAATCGCTCAGCCAACTAAAACAAGATCTTAAGAATCGCCCCCATAGAATGTGAACACTTAAACACAGATAAACATTTAAATTACTTACATAACATAAAGAGACAAAGTCTCACATAGAACACTTAAAGTCAATAGACTCAACATGAAGTAAACACGAAGAAAACACGAAGAAACATTTAAAGGCAAGGCCTCGGAGAAACATGAAACTTATACAAGTCAGTGCTCAATAGAAAGTAGTATAGAAACTACAATTACACTGACTCAGATAGAAATAGCTTATAAAAGCAATACAACTTACTAGGGCATAGCCCAGACAATGTGGAGGCATACTAGCCTGCCACTAACGGTGAAGCTAAGACTTAATCAAAATTAGGTCAGATACTTCTAATCACCGTCAATGAAAATACTGAATCTAGAACTCACGAGAGTAAATAAAGGATGGTAATAAAAGTCACAAGTAGGGATACAAAACTAAGTATGATTTACATTAACTCACACTGACTTGGACATGTACTGCACTCAACATATAGTAGTGCAATAAAGCAAATAGCGAAAAGAATTAACGCGGATAAGCTAAATGCACTGGCTGACTATACCATGGACAACCCGATGGACAGCCTCAGACGCACAGTGCAGCAAGCAATTGAGAATGAATGCGGGCCAGACCCTTAACAGACGGATGAATGTAGTCTGGCCTCGATTTAATGCGAGGGCAGTACATGTCCAAACAGTAAGTAGAGTCAGATTTAAATATAGACTCAAAACTGATTATAGATACTTAAGGTTTGAACCTCAGATTTCTAATTTGAAAATTAAAACGAGCCAACTCAGGTAGCACATTAACTTTGTGAACATTAGCCACTGGCAATAATTCACACACAAATACATGTTTGAAATGCCGAGTGAGAAACCTCACTAAGGAAGCAAAGACTGACCACACCTCTTTAAAATCATTAGGTTGCAAAAGATCGTTGATGCCTAATAGGAGCACGGCAGAGCAAGGAAACTTAGTTGTAGGGATTGACTTTACAATCATTTTCACGTCCAAGACTTTGCCACCACGAATGCAAGTTTGTTTACTCAGTGGACTAAAAGTGCTTGAATGAGACTCATAGAGTCTAGCAAAAATGCTATCTCCAATCAGCAGTGCCATTGTAGAGATACAAAGTCTAATACAGCCCACAGGGCGAACCTACACAAATGGCACTGACCAAAGGAATTACATGACGGAGTAGCTCGCGAGTTAAAATTGAGGTCAACAGTCAAAAACCATACTTAAAATGACTGAACCGGAGTGGAGGGCTTTGCAGCGGCGCAGCTACGTGAGGCCTAGGCCATCACGAACAGAAGATTGTAGTTGGCTGGAAGAGTCACAGCCGGCGCCGGATCCATCCCGGGGACACGAGCATTTAGCCGGACATCACGGCAAGATTGGCTTGATTAAAGCTAAGGTAAAAACCCTGCAATAAGGCGAGAACACAGAGCACATGGTCAGACACTGGACAACATAACCTGGCTGGCGAGCATAGCGGCCGAAAGGCCAAAGCGAGGACAACGCATATGCAGATGGTACGAACCGTTAAAACGAGCATGGCTGACACTTTGATAAAGAAGTGAAAGACGGATTTAGCTCGCGGAAAGAATGATGATGATGAATTTAACGGGTTTGCTCGCGGAAAGATGAGGTGATGTCTGACTGGCGTCCTCCGGAAGAATGAGGCAGGCGAGGGTGCAGCAGCTGCTGCGCGTCTCGGAGCGGCGCGGAGTGCGTGAGGAGTGGCGCGCTCTAGTGGCGACGAAGTGAAATACGATGGAATGAAAATGGGGGAACTCGAGAGAAGGGAATGACGATGAGTGCGAATGCAGTGCAGTGGGAGTGGGGTGTGAGAAGACGGGACGAGACAAAAAGTAGACGATATACGAAATAAAATAAAGACAAAAACAAATAGGAAAACGAGACAAAGACAAAAAGAGTAACGACCTGTTCCAACAGAGTGTCGACTACAGGGCCAGGCAGTGTCGACTACTGGGCCAATGAACACTGTTTTTTGTTATACATTTTTGTGTACAAAAATGTATTTATTTCCATTTTCGACCTATGGGGCATTAAGTTTAATCCGTCCACTACACCCTCGAAATTTTTCCTTGACGCTACCGTACACCCACGCTCCGTTGTAGGCACTTTTGATAAGCCTTGCTCTTAAACTGTCGACTACTGGGCCCCTTACCCTATTCGGCTCATAGTGGCCTACAACAAAACTACTACGTATTACTTTGCTGTACATTTACAAGAAAAGAGAAGTTAATTTTGTTAGCAGCACATTTCGTTCCAAAACAGGACACTCGTATTTTTACATATTCTTTTTTAAAGGAGCAAAACAAAGTAACTACTAAGTGTTCGCCACAAAGACCAGTATGGGAGAATATTGTACCGTTGTTGCCAATGCAGGGACGTACTATATGACAATCATAAGAGCTTACAACAACACATAAGACGAAAACATGGCAATGCTGAACCGCCAACAAGCAGTTCACATGCCCCCTCAGGTCAGTTTATTTGGCAGCTCTACCTATGATCTTCTTTCTTGCCAGTTAAGCTTTGATAATTTCCTACTTTTTATGATTGCAGGTGGTGCTATCATTAATCATGTTTCTGATGAAGAGATTATCCAAAGTGTGCTACAAGAAGCCAGTGAGTTGCAAATTTGTGATTTGTGATCAAAGATTTAAACTGTAATTTTTTTTTTACCCTTCATTCTTTGTGTTCCAGGTACATCCAACCTTAATTTGGAAGAACTTTTAAAGCTGCAAGCAGCATCTTTACTCATCAGACTAAAAGAAGTCCACTGCGCTACTCAAGTGATCATCAACCAAGTTATATCTGGTGTTGCTCCCATGTTTGACACCTTTTTGGATATACTTCAGGTCAGTCAGGCTTTTCACAAAGCCTATGATTGTATGAATTTAAAACACTAAATCATACCTTGCATCTTTTATCTAAAATATGCTTTTTGTATTACAGAACAAATTTAGCAAAAACCCCAATGATGTTCTTACCACTGACGAAGTTGTCTCTTGTATCGAGTCTGTACGTGGTCAATCCCTTTTTGCGGGGCTGGAAACTTCTAAGGAACTGGAAGAATACATCAATGATGAAGAGGGTTTGATAAAACCTGTCAAAGTCACAGTTGCCACCAAAGAAGTTGTGAAAAATAATAATATCAAGAAGATTGATGTTGATTTTGGATATGTGGTGCCATTTCTACCAGGTTTGGAGAAGAGCTTAAACTGCCCTGAAATTCTAAAATGTGTTGATAATCCAGCCCCAGTAAAACCTGGGGTATTTACATCACCTTTAGATGGGTACTTCTATCAAAATCATCCAATAGTAAAAGAAGACCCGAAGACTCTTGCAGTAGGCATATATGCTGATGGTGTAGACTTAACCGATTCTGCAAGCAGCAAGTCTGGTGTTCATTCCCAGACATTTATTTATTTTGTGATCTATAACATAGATCCTAAGCTTAGGTCTTCAAGACGTTCAATCTTCCTATTGGGCATTGTTAAAAGTGAAGTCCTGAAAAAACATGGTTACAACGATTTTCTGAAAGATTTTGTAGCTGGGATGAATAAACTTTCAAGCCGTGAAGGTGTTACATTTGAAATCAATGGTGAGAAAAGGGTATTTCATGGTATTTTTATCTGTGTTTGTGGGGACAATCCTGCCTCTCAAAATATGGGGGGCTTCAAAGAAAGCCACTTTGCTGAGAAACCCTGTAGGCATTGTTATGTGAATACTGAAGATCTCTTCAAGAGCTTCAAGGAAGGTGACTTCACTCTGCGTAGAATGGACTTGCATGAAGCTCAAGTGAAAGAAGTTGAGGAGTACTTCTCACTTCGCCCATGTGAGAGAGAAGGCAAAATAAATCCATCTGTTCTGTACGGTATTAATGGGAGGAGTGCTCTAATGGATATTAATGGCTGTGATGTCACAAAATGTTTTCCTCAAGACATGATGCATGACACTATCGAAGTTAAGTATTTTATAATTTCTAATTTATAATAGACCATAGTTAGGTACTGAAGTGTGTGTTGTAAGTTTGTAAACAGTTATTAATTTGTCTTTACTTTGATTACAGGCTCTTTGAAGCTGGAGATATGTTGTTTGCTGAAAGATGTTGTTGATTCTAAGGAACTATCCTTAGGTATAATCAATGAGCGAATTCACATGTTTTCCAAACTCTTTGGTGTGAACAAGCCAAGTGTAATTGAGATGAGCTATTTGGAAAATAAGAGATTAAGACAGACTGCTGCAGAGACACTCAACCTAGCCTACATGTTACCGTTTGTTCTCAGGAAAAGAACCAACAAAGATTTAGTGACTGTGTGCAAAGAGAAAAATATGAAGTGTTTCACCATGCGTCTGCAATTATTAGACCTCCTTATGTCAGAGAAATTGACTTACAAGGATATTCAGAAAATACGCACAGTAACTCAAGCTCATCATTTACTATTTCAAGATTTGTATGGCTGTGCAATTCCTAAAATGCATTATGAATGCCATCTAAATCAAATTCTCTTGTACGGTCCACCTCGGAATTATTGGTGTTTTGGGTAAGTTAGCTCAAACTGCCATGTTGTGTGTGTTTTGTGCACTAGTTAATGATTTTCTATTTTATTAATTGCAGATTTGAAGGAAAGCATGCCTACTTTAAAAGGTTACTTAGGATCTTGCGCTGCTTCAAAGACCCTGCTGGAACTTTTGCTAGAGCCCATCAACGCCGTGTTTGTGGACTTATGCTTCTCAGCAAAAAAGGAATTGCTGGTCCTTTTCTACAAAGCAGTGATTCGCTTGGGTCCCCAGTTAATTCGAAGCTTCATTCATTAGCATATCGATCTGGTTTGTTGGATTTTTTCCCAGACATTGCTATTGACTTGAGGCTCACTCAATACAAGACTTGCTCCTACAATGGTGTCAAGTATAGTAAAAATCAAATAATTATGATCTCTTTGTCAGAGGCATTGCCTAAATTTGGTCAAATCATCCACATGTTCCAACATCAAGGTAGATTACTATTTATGTACAAACAAATGTTGACTGAATGCTGTGCTCAGTTTCTTAATGCATTTAAACTCAGTTATTGTATTGGTACTGAGTTTGGTGTAATTTGTGTGTCTGATTTGCCCTATCACCATCAGATATATTTAGTGAAGTCAGTGAGAGCAATTTATGTTGTTGCTCCCTGTAGGCGCTTCGGCCATTTGAAAATTGTATAGCTTACCAAGCACCACCAAAGTCCTATTCAATTATCTATCTAATGAAGATTGTTTCCTTGTGTAACTGTTTTTTGTGGACTATTTCCCTTTCAGGCCATTCATTCTCTTAGTAAAATAAATAATTGGTCACATTACCTTGATGAAAACAAGAAGGGTCAATTTGATTGTTTTATTAGTGTAAAAGTATCAGACAGGAAAGTTTCTGAACTAGTGATAAAATATCTTAAAGCAATTTGTTACCATGCGAAGTATCTCAAAACTGAACAAACATCTTTAACTATTAAACCTAAATTTTGGCAATGGAAAGAAAATTATAGAAAAAAGGCTTGGCTACAGGAAAATGACATGATACCAATCTGAAACTTAGCTTATTCTACTGATGTTATCTCATACTTCAAAAGAAAAAGGTGCCGTGTTGTTTATTGTCTTTTGGTCATTAATATCTCTACATTCTACCTGCAAGCTCTGCCTTGTATATTTTAATGTGATTCAGAATTTCACACACAATGATGAATCAAGTTCAGTTTAGTTATTAAAGAAGAAACGTCATCTGGATTGTTAAAGCATTGATTTAAAGGCAGTTCTATTTAGGCATGAACTTAGGGAAGGGAAGTTCTGGCATTTAAAGAAGGAAAATAATGAAAATTATGCTTTGAATTAGGAGTTTTGTCAGATACAACCCATCTACTGTGAATCTGTATTACATTTTACAATTTTATTTAAATAATTACAGATATTGCTCACTGGTTCTCATCAGCTAAATTTCAATTCTTATATTACAATCTTTGCCATGATGGGCTTATTTTTTGTACAAATATAAGGAAATACAACATCGGATAATTGACAAAAGTTGTTCTTATTTACAGTGATACTGTTGTAGAATGAGAAAAGTTCCCACAAGAACACAAATTCACCCAAACATAAGCAATATTTTTTTATTTTTTTTAGAACAGCAGGTCTAAAATAGAGAAGATTTACTTATGATTGAATCAGTCACGTGAGGCCAGAGAAGCTGAAGCCGATCAATGTTTCAAGTAAACTAATAGGCCGAGTGGGAACGGAAGCAAGCTTTGTTAACCCAAAACAAATGGATTCAGCTTAACTGGCTTCAACAGACTAAATCAACTATCAACAATACTTCACTTCAGTGATTATTCCTCTCACTTTGAAACCATACTGAAGCACTCTGTATCATTTGCTGTTGACTCAAAATAGTAGTTGTATTACTGGCATCTATGGGACTTTAAATTTAAAATACAGGAGTAGAGTAAGGTATTCACAAAAACATCTTTGCTTGAATAGGGGCAGTTAAAACCATCCTCCATAGGGGAATAAGTAAAATATATTAAGCCACTTGCCTGAGATTCTTGACTGCTTTACAAACATGTTTAATCTGTTAACCTTTCTCAAATTTGATTGATCTAACTCAAGTAAGTAACATCAATGAAAATACAACAATTATAATAAACTGTCAACTGCCACTGTCAAAGCCCAGGAATCACATCAGAGTCCTAATCATGCCAGTCACGGTCTGAAGAAAGTTGTCTCACCTCATGAGACATAATTAATTCACCATCAGAGTAAAAAGAGACTTTGAAAAAAATTGTCTTGACTATATTACTTAAAGGTAAGATAATGATGTTGTATGCTTCTTTGGAGTCTCTTCGTGTGGTCATTCAATAGTAGCAGAGAAGTCGACCAGCATTTGAACATCATAGCATTGAATGTTGCCTCTGTAAACAGACAGAAGTAAAGCAAAATAATATAAAAAATCTATAGTCCTTCTTTTCATGAAAAGTTCATAGAATTGTCAATGTGGGATATATGTGCTACCAAAACGTTCTTTGGAAGAAAATAAAAATATTTCAGCGCGCTGGTTGGAGGCACCTTATTTGGGGCCCAAACACGTAAAATTAAGAGACACGCAAGATCAGGTAGCTTACCTAAGTTAGCACTGGTAGTTGAAGCCCTTCAGAAGAAAAGAGTTTAAAGATTTCCAATGGGATGAACTGTCCTTCACTTCAGATACAAATGACTAACACCAAGCAAACTCCAAAGCCAAGCCTGAAAACAAAAAACGGCAAAAATGAGGAAACTGGTCAATGTCACTGTCTAAAATCTAGGGTGTCAGCCCATAATGAGCGACATAAATGCCTATGGAAAATATCAAAAGAAACATTGATCTGAAAGATGCAAATCAAAAACAAGTAGGTGCAAATAGACGGGAGATACAAGCATTGTAGGTTATGTGGTACGATAACATTGCATTAGAATAGCCGAAAATAGAGAATGTTAAGAGGAAAATGCCGAGAACTCAAGAACGCATAGTGTAAAAAACAAAAGACAGAAATTTTCCAGCTACGCTAAAATGCAATAGGCGAAACAGGTCGTCGGGGCGAAAGCGAAAACTAGAGCTTTTAGAAGCGATACTTCTGCTCCGACTCCACCACGACTGTACGCACCTCAAGTTCGGCTCACATTTTGCAGCTCTTGTACACGCGTTGCAGTTTTACAAGTTTGATTTATTAATCGCACCCCACCCCCACAATGAACATTCGCACAATTGATGCACCAAATTATCAACGGTTGTCATAATTCATTGTATGGTCTTTGGGGAAAAATTTTGAACTTCTAAGTTGGACAAATTTGAAATGCCCCTCTCTCGTCACGCTTTCGTCCTTTCGTTTCGTCGGCTTCGTACCTCAATTGTTTCTTTAGTTCATAACAAAAACAGAAATGGAGTCACGGGAGGATTACAGATCCGATCAAGTGTTGATAGTTTTGTAAATTTCGTAGCTTTGTCCACCACGACAGATGTGCTATTATCTAATGAACAGTTCTTTCGATGCTTCTTGTCGATAAACTGTTATGGTTTTGTAAAAATGGAGGTTGTAAACATTTCAAAAGTTGTGTTCGAGTACACTACATAACCGTATTCCCCAATCTGCACACATTGGATATTGGATGGGATCCTTTGGCAGTTGGTTCTTAGCAGCATTTCTACTTTTATGTGAGTACTTTTAAACTAACCTAGTCAATTTAATAGTGTTATTGACTTGTCTTGTAACAACATATTATCATGGGATCATTAGGTTTCAGTTCCAACTTATCAATATAGGTTCTTAGAATAATAAGTGGTATGTGAGGACTAAGTCAATTGTTCTTGGACATGAATAGCTTCAATTCTGTGATTTGAGTGGCCTTGTTGCTAAAACTGAGCGATATATACATGCAAGACTCAAGTTGAGCGATTTCAAAAATGTGATCTAATTAGAGCGATATTGAATCACCTCCCCCTTCATTTAGTGAAATTGATATAGATTACCCATAGAGAGCGATGTTGAAATACATGACTCTAATTGAGCAATGGAAAAAAATATCGCTCTTGGGAGAGCGTGCAAATTGGCTTCACTAATATCGCTCTCCTGAGAGCGAAAAAGGTCGCTCCTTTACTTGTAGTGTCGTCTTTTGCCCCTGACGACTCGTTCAGTCAGCTCGCCTTTTCAAGACGAAGGTAATTTTAATTTAAGTTTTGTGTTAACTGTTCCCTTGCCTTTATGGTTGATTGTTCAGAGAATGTGAACCATTAAAATACGTTCACCAAAAAAATATAATAACGTATTGTATACTTTCATGATATTTTGCATTACAGAAGGACCACCTCAGGTCTCATCCACTCCAAATAAAAAGAACCCTCGAAGATCAGCAAGAGCAAGGGCTCCAAAAGGCAGTAAAAAAAAAAGGTCACCGAAAAAGGTACATCAAAGAAAAACAATAACAACATAGTGGACCCTATCTTCAAAAGGCCTGCTGCCTCCCCTAAAATTTTTGCGCAATGTCCTGAATGTGGGCAGGGACTCAAATCAGAATCAGGTTTCAAGAACCACAGCTTCAGTCACAAATGGAAAAGTAAGTCTTGATTAATCTTTCTAGAGAAACATTTTTATTTCTGCATTTCTGCGTCATTTCAACTCAGATGACTGTGTGTACAATTTCAGAACTTGCTACAAGAGTACCTCCTCAAGACAAAATAAAGGATTATTGCCATCAAGAGGCTAGAAGTATTCTGCAGAAAATAAAAGATTTTCAGTGGCCTGGGAAATATGAGAAAGAAGTGAGCGCTTTTGCTGGATCTGTGGAGGAGAAAATGAGCTCTACAGAATGGGAGGTTCTCTTTTCCATTATGCGTGACATTGTTGTCAAAGCTTTCTCGGGCTTTGACATTAAAAAGAGAAGCATAACTTTTCCGTCAACCAGCCGTAGACAATTGTTAGAACATGTAAATAATTCTCTTGGAGACAATGACATTCGTTGCCATTTGTTTGAGTCTCTTCAATGTGTCCAAGAATGTTCCCCAGAAGTTGGTTTTCCTTTCCTGTTTGACTTCATTAGAAAATTAGGAAATTCTGCTTTGGCTTTCTACTTCAGGAAGAGAGAGTGCAACGGGTGAAAGGAAGAAAAGGTCAAAGGATGACTTCAACCATGAACTGACTCATCAGGCTGTGCACTACATTGCTGGTTCTTGTATGAAGTCAATTAGAAGACATTCGTACACCTACAACAAGTGTAAAAGACTTCAGAGAAGAAGAATGCACATTCTCATAAAATTTGCTAGACCCGAAGGCTCACCTATTGCAATGCCAAGACAAAAGTAATATTTGGACTCAACTACTAAATAGGAAGTCCCTGTTTTTTGTCAATGATAAAGCCCTTCCTTTTTTTATTGAAGTAGCAGACTTGCTGCAAAGCATGGAAAAGCCTGATGGAAGTTTAGGCCATGAAGAGGTCATGAACAGAGATGTGGATAGACCCTCCATTCTATTTAAGTGGTCGAACATTGTTGAATGTGAGCTTGAAGAAGAAGAATCGTTTCAACTAATGGTGAAAGCTATAAGAATTATTAACAACACTTTTGGAAGAGGCATCCTGTACAGAAGAATGAATACGATGTGGAGAAAGGGGAAAGGTAACAAGTCAACCATATCAGTCAGTCATAGAGCAAGATTAGTTAAGTGATTACTTAAAGCTATTGTTTTTTCTCCTATTAGTTCAATTTTATTGCTGTTGCTTCTTTTAAGTTAAGCAGGACTTACCAAATTGGTATAGTTATCTTTTCGCTCGTCCCTAACTCAAAGCACGCACGGCGCAGCGCCTCTAGAGAAACAAAGTATCTTTGCGCGACGCTCGAGAAACCAAGTATCGTTGCGCGACTCTAGTGAAACCACGTAACGCATTTTTTGACGATTTTTTAGGAACTATATATTTGAATAGAGGGAAGTTTTCTCAATCGAATGGTATAGGTTTCAGAAATCACCCAAAAATGGAAATACGTGGTTTCACCAGAGTCGCGCAACGATACT